GGTTTGAGCTTATATGTCTCCCTACATTTTAAAAACATGCCTGACTGTACAATTAGTATGGCATATATGTATGTATCACATTTGTAGCATTGAGAACACAAGGTCTAAGTCGTGTTTTTTTTATTTTATATTCAGGAAATAAGGGTACAAATTCATGGTGATTTAGTGATGGAGAAATCAGTTCAGCCAACTATTCATGAAGAGCCGCATCGCTTACCTCGCATGACAACTACGCAGCATGTCACAGTCACACATCAGAAAAGATTATCTTCCCCGCAACCAATCAGACTAGCTGCCCAAAGACTGGAATTCCCAGCAACACGAGTACAAGAGACAACAGGTATGAAGTGAATTCAAAAAGTTTTTATACCTCCCCAAGGTGAAATTCTGCATGAGCTAATGCTCGCTTTAAAACGAAAGATTAATGTAACTTTTCTTTTTATTATTCATGTTGTTGTGCGATTGTAATTCAGTGTTGTCTTGTACAGTGTGTTTATATTGAACAGGATTATTATAATTTGGAATGTCACTCATTGTAAATCTGTTTTTGTGCTGGATGTAGGCGTAGATTATCGTTAGTGTTCATCTCTGTTATTTTACCTACTTCCACATTTCAGAAACTTGTCTTGATTTTGAAAACACCACTAGTGAGATAATGAGGTGGTCCTTATCCTCTATTGCACCTGCCTATGTGAAACAAGAAAGCAAAGAAGTTTACAGAGCAACTTACACAGCTTTCCGCTTCACTAAACAGTCTGGTATGCTTACACCAGGACAGTTTGTCAAGGTAAACAGCTGCTTTTCTTGCACAAATGTTTCCATATTTTATCTGTCACCTAACTAGTCATTTGTGAAAAGTGGGTACAAGATGAAATATGATATTTATATGAGTACACTTTTACTATTTTGATAAATGTTCTACGTTGCTTGGACACACACACTGTACAATGTATGAGCTCTGTGCAAGCTGCTGTGGAACGCCAGTCAAGAAAACAGCACAAACTCAACTTTGAGGTAATCCTGAGCAACTAAATGTATACATGTATATGTTGCACACATAAGGTAGTCTTACTACACTGTTCAAAATAATCTCAACAACTAACCCAAACGTACAGTAATGCCCTGATGTCCACCCCTGAGAATACTCACTTTGTGATTGCAACAAGATTAAGCCAAGATCTTTTTAAAGTTGAGCGTATCAACAACAAAATATTATAATACCTGGTTTTAATAGATAAATGACATCTCTGATTTGTGTAATAATAAACAAAGAGAAATATGACATTGACAGTGGCTTGTATTTATTGCAGATTCCAGTAGTATTCATTCCAAGAGATGTAGGTAGTTATTCACAATACTGGGAACTCGAGGTAAGTCATGTGACTTCTTGTCAGCTTTGTAATAATAGATTCACACGTTTATTTAAAGACATCTTGTGGTGCACATAATGTCCTTCATTTTATTGTGCAGCAATTCATTGATGATATAAAAAAACATCCCTAACGATTACTGATGACTACACAAATGTGCGCAAGTGTTTTTAGAAATAGAATCTCGATCCCAACCTCTGTCCTAGTTTCTAATAGACAATCCCATATTGTGATTATTGTCACAGTGACTATGCCTATAATGTTGGTTGCATTTATTTGTATATTTCATATAGGCCAATTCCAAAGAATCCGTAGCATCCACAGTTCAACAGACTAAAATAGAACTTGCTGGTGATGGTGTCAAAGCTGCTGCAGCTTTAACAAAGACTCATAGACGAGGACCATTAGCACCAACTGTTCCAATGGTCAAACCTTTCCATCAGTCTACCACAGATAACACTGAACCTGTCACAAAAACTCAACACACTGTACCAAAGTAAGCTATCATAAATTGGTTACTGTGCAACTTTCGGATAACTGAAAACCTGTCAAATCTTTTTATTCTGTTTTCAATTTGCAATGATCTCAGTTCCCTTTCGTGTTAAATTCTGTTTTCTTTCACTGAAAAAATATTTCTTCTCACTTTGAAATGCCCATGAGAATACCTGTTGGATGAACTTGTGCATTTATCTGTTTGCACCGACACATGGTTAAGTTGGTCGACTGAGGGCCATTTTGTTATAAATAATTCTATACCCTGTCTATAGCGACAGGCTTGTACATTTGTAGTGGCCCTGTCTATAGCGACAGGGTTGTACATTTGTAGTGGCCCTGTCTATAGCGACAGGGTTGTACATTTGTAGTGGCCCTGTCTATAGCGACAGGGTTGTACATTTGTAGTGGCCCTGTTTATAGCGATAGGGTTGTACATTTGTAGTGGCCCTGTTTATAGCGATAGGGTTGTACATTTGTAGTGGACCTATCTATAGTGGC